TTTTGAGCAGTGAATTGTTAGAATGAACACTGTAAGGTATTTTATAATTATTAACCGGTTTTTATCATTTAAACCTTTACAGTAACTTGGTCTTTCCGTAATCTTCATCAGGACGCAAATTAGATGGCAGAGTATTTATTTAAGTCACAAATCAAATCAGATAGTATCAAATAAGATAATAGAGTATTTCAGAGTTCTGAATGTTTTAGATGTAGGTTTTTGGCAGAATCGCCTGCAATTTACGTTCTATCACCCAGCATTAAAATATTGAACCAGCTTACTTAGGTTAGTTTGTACAGTCTTCGATTAAGATTCCATAAATTTGAAATTCCAACTTTGTTACTTTAAAATTTCTGGAAGTGGCAGAATTTACTTGGCACAAGTTGTGCTTTCTATTCGTTTCAAGATTTAATAAAAAGGGTTATTTACATCCTTCTTAAGACTTCTCAACTATATTTTAGACGAGCGATAACTCCGTCTAAGGGGTCAGAAGGAATCTGATTCAGTTCTGTACAGCTAGGGGACCATATAACATTCTCATTCGTATTCAGTACTTCAGACTGGCTGATAATAGGACCATCAGTACTTTTACCTTCTTGAAAAGAACTATACTTCCTGACATTAAGCAACAATTTTTGTTAAAATCCTGTAAAAGTAGGCTCTTCATATTTTTTCACAAGCAGCAGCAATAGTAAAGATTGCATTTGTATGAACCGAGCCTAAAATTCCTCGATATTGCCAATATAATTCAGTCAAATGTGCACAAAGAATAACATTATTTGTACTTAAAAGTATCGCGTCATTCCTATGACACACTTTCAATGCATTCATACTCCACGAAAGTCGGGGATAAGCGTGGCGGATTATCAGAAATGTTGAACCACTGGTTACCGGATTTTCGGTCTTTTTGCGTGCCATTATAAATCGTTACAATTTTCTATCATTTTCCATAGCATTGTAACTGTTATATTCCGAAAATGTACATACCTCATTTAAAGGTCTGTATTGTTCGAGTTAATAATGTATTTCGCATCCATACACGATGAATTATAACTAAGCTTAAATTAATTTCAGTTACGTTGAGCTAAAATAATTTAAAAGGCTAATGGTAATAAAAATTTAAAAATGTAATTTGTAAGTATTTTTAATAAAACATGCATATTATTTCCTTGTAGAATTTGAATAAACACGAAAAGATTAAAAGGAAAATACCGAATATTAATTTATAAAACCTGTATCCAATAATATAACAGTGAGAAAATAATGCGTACAAACATCACTCATTTTGTTTTTCGACTTCTAATGAAAACATGCATATTCATGAGATTTCTGTAAAAAGCATTGTTCGAAATGATTTTCTCTTAATAAACGATATTCTACAAGACTTCTATTCAAACAGATTTTGCATCTTCGGTACTTGCAGGATTTATACATAAAGATATTTTCAGTTTGAAGATCAAATACGATATCGTATAATTAGGGTAAGAATTTTATTGTAGAAAAAGGGAAGTATTCACGCTGAGGTAACTAGATAAATAACTGAAATTTGACAAAACATTCTCATCCTGATACTTACGCTAAAAATAACGCAGAAAATTTTTCGGCTTAAATTTAGCTAACATTCCCCTCACATTCACATAAAAAAATAATTCTGTCAGATATAAAGAGGTTTTCAAATAATTAGTAGGTAATCAAGTAATTAAAGAAGCATTGTATTATACATATTTTTAATGGAAACTTATTTCTAGAGGATTCAGTTTCTGGCAATGTAATTAATATTGTTTAGATACGTTATATTTTGCGAACATAGAGCTCCTTTGTAAAATATTAAAACATTTTTAAATTTATAAAAATGATCTTTCGGCATAAAAGCTGTTCATTGATACCGAGAGGCAATAGAGTACGACTTTATGTAGCTTTAAGAAACTGCTCTTCTATTATTATGGAAATCTAGACAAATCTGAGCGGTATTATGAGGTTTAAATTTTCTGACTTGGATTTTGCAGTACTTTGATGTGTGCTTTTCGAGTTATTTCTCATGGCAGGTAGTGATATTAAAATTGTTTAAGTATGAAATAAAAATCGAAAAATGTTTTTTAACTCTAACAACGATTAAATAATTTCTGAAATTCTCGATTTTACTTGGCATCCTAACAGAAACTTAATATTCGTGACATCTTAGGCAGCATATAAAATTCTCGAAAATAATCTTAGAAATACAGGCTGAAATAAAGTTGTTACCTACTCATAATATAAAACTTGAAGAAATTTTTCACAATAACAAATTACGAGTAGCTTGTTACACAGGAATTTAAAAGAATGATTCACTTATTTCACATATTCTATAAGAGATGCTTTAAAGTGGGATTAGTATTACCAATAAAATTAAATGCAAAACTTTCTAATAATTAATGTACTAGAACTTTATGATATTTTAGAAATTTTTTCAGTGGCTTCTTTCAAAATTTTTTACAGCCAGGAAAGCATTCTAAAACTTAGTAAATAAAATATACCCTCAGAAAAATTTATTTTTATATACACTTAATGCAACCTCTGGAAGTGGCAATTCTTAAAAAGGATATCATTTTTGTTAGGAATACATTGAGTGTAAAGTATCTAAAATGGAATTGAATTTCTGAAGTATGTTTATGTCTTCAAAGAAACTAGTCCTGCCTGGTAGACTTTACGGTCTTTGAAGTGTCAATTTGTTTCAGTAAGTTGAGTTTATGTACTGTTTCGAAATCTACCGAAGGGAAGCGATACATATAGGAAATATATTGTGTCTTTATTATGAATATGAACCTGGCAATATTTCAAAGCCAGTAGCTCCACTTTCCTTTCCATTTTCTATTAACTCTTCAGTTATACATGTATGTAAATGTGAGCAACAGCGCTTGAAGTAAAAGGTATTCGTGCAATCTTCATTTTACAGACAGTAAAGAACGGTTTTCAAAATGGAAATTTTTGGTTCAGGCCATCTTTTAACCCCCCTTCCAGAATGAAGATTAAATGCATCATAAGCAGAATAAAGACACACTTATTTTATATATCTTCCTAAAAACAATATTTACCTAGCATTTGCACAGTAGTTTTATAAACGATATAAACTTGTAAAATTGTAAATATATAATAATATATCGCTTGCGTAAGCAGTTATCGCATGCTATAAGGATAACCTGTAGAGTCATTAGTTTATTTCGAAGCAGAAAAAATTGTTTAATTTTTATACCCTTGCCGGGACTCAAACTCCGGATCTTCCGACTGCCAGTCGGGCGTGCTTTATATTACACCACGAAGTCAAGTGGGAAAAAGAGAGAAACCCTTAAAACTTTTATTTCAGTAAAACAAGTCAACTACTATCTGCCTTGAGAGAAAATCTTTTATACGAAAATTTGACTTTGAGATATGTAATGCATGAAACAATAACCATTGAGTCAAATCATTCGAACTGGAATCGAACATAAGACGCAATAATTTTTCAGTAATATTATCCTAAATTTATTTTACTGTTGAAAGATCATAGTATAAAAATGTTTAGTTTAATTTAAGTTTTAAATGTGTAAGAGTTAAATGTGATCTGCACATTTGAGAATATATAATTTTGTTCCTATTTTGCTCTTATTGACCATCATCTATTTCTGTATTGTTCCGTTGATTATCAAATTTGCTGACAGGGGAATAAAATTTTTAGAAACAGGGATTTGATTATTCAAGTATCAAAATTTTTTAGAAACAGGGATTTGATTTGATTATTTTATGGGCAATAGGTATCTAATAATGTCGCACTCTGTGTTGTGTCTCTGATTTTTGTTTTGTAACAGCTCCATTTGTGGTGACATTTCCATTTTAAGTCATGCCTTTATCACGGATGTGAGATGATAACATGAGACATGTTTTCGTCTGGTGAGGCATGATTTATGAGAAGAAACGTAGTTTCGTCACAATGAACACGTCTGTAGCACAATTTATTGAATATGGGCCCTAAAATTTTGCATCTATTTATCAAATTTCTTTTGCACCTTTCGAAAACTCGTGTCGGCAAATAATCAAACACTTCTGTTCCTTTAATCAAACACTGACATTGAAATCTATCAAGATACTGTCTAAATGTTCTCTGCTTATTGTAGGAAAATGAACAGCATTCTTGGCATGATGGTGCGACATGTCATGCATCAGACTCCTCAATAAGAATTCTGGAGTAGTACTTTGGCAACAGAATCATATCTAAAGCCCTTCAAATTATCCAAGTCTTACCATTTTAGACAACATTTTGTGTAAGTAATTAAAACAAACTATGTATAAAAACGTCTTGGAAAAAGCTGAAAGTGAACATCATTGTTGCTATCCAGAATACAGGTAAAAGGCTTCGTAAGGTTGCCAGAACATGTGTGGGCAAAAGCACTAAATTGGTGAAGAGTATTTCGAACATATGCTCGAAGCAAGATACGTAAGATAGAAATATTAAGTATATATATATGTATATATAGATAGATATAGATATACTTAATATTTCTATGAGGGATTCAATTTTAAATTGAATGCTTTATACAGAACATAGTTCGAAATCAACGTTTCTGTAAATGTCTCATGTAAGATGGATTTATTGCATGAGAAGGTATCCCTTTCAGTTCCCTAAGCATTGAAATTTCCTGCATTCAGAATCCCATCTGAACATCCAAAATTTCTTCTTTTTTAAATGAATTGCGTCTTCACTTAAGTTTTCAAACACACTACAATTTTTTCATTCAGTATAAATGAACAATTACTTAATTACTAACTAATGATGAAAACAAATACAGAGACTTCTATAGCAAAAATGAATTTTCACCTATCCGCTGTGAATTTCGAACGACCATCGTGGTGTGATCAACTCAGTGGCCGCTGAACCGGTACTCGATTGTAGTTATAGATTCAATGAATTATTGTTATATTTAACACTGTAATGACAACTATTAACTGACTATGAATGTTTGACTAAAATTTCTTTTATAATTCCTCAGAAATATGCTGGAATAAAACGAGAAAACTGTCATATAATTGGACATAGTCTGGGTGCACACATTGCTGGTTACGTTGGAGACCGGCTGAAACGACTCGGCAGAATTACAGGTGAGAAAGTAATACCCTTTTTTAAGAAATAATAGTTACAAAAATATTCAAACAATAAAAATATTTATTGCATATTAATCGATGTAAAAGTACTTCCAGACGAGCGTAATTCTGTACCGCTTTCAAATGAATTAATTTGACGCATATAATATAAAAGTTTTTAATTATTTGTATGTCACCAAACTGTTTCGATAGAATGTCATGATTTTTTAACAGCGTACTCCTTCGGGACGCGTAAGCATTACGTAAGTTACAATGCTTCCCACAGCCAGTTTCAGCTTTCTGAGTACATAAACGATATCAGTTCGCTCGACTTTTATCCACAAACGTGATCATTACATGATCATCATGATCTTGATGATTGATACTGCTGCCCACACTGTAACGAAAAATATTCTGAAACAAGTTTGGCACGAATTTGATACTACTTCTATGTGCTCTCAAAGTGAAAGTCTTTTCTTTATTAAGTTCGCATCTTCAAGACTTACTACTCAAAGCTCATTAGTTAAATTTATATGTTGCCAGCCGGAAATTATAGCTTAGGTTAACTATAATATATGCTCTGTATTCTTTGCACTCATTTTCTGTTTCAGTTTCATTCAAAAGTCTTTCTAAGGTCTGACCATTGTGCAGGCATTCACAATTATCTGGTTTTTTAAAAAAAACATCTGTTTTTCTGCTTTTTCAAGGTCACAAGAGCCTTTGGGGTCCTAAAAGATGAAATCGGTATTTCAGAACATAAGAAAAATAAAGGAAATATTTCCATCTTAACAAATGTTTCGGCATCTTTCTTTGCACATACAAATATTTCCAGCTCAAGCGCTGCGTGAGCTGGGATGCAAACCAGAATCATAAGAATAGAAGTACACTTTGCTCTCTGAACACTACAGGACTCAGAATGTCTTGTTTCATCCGTTCTGAAAATACATCACTCCTTTGTTTGGTTGTCGAAGAGATTGTTATTTGACCACTTAAGAGGCCGTTATGCCATTTTTACACAGTCAATCTTTTATTATCGTGTGCTCACTGTACATGCTTAGACGTCGGTTTCTTATCAATTTTTTGTACGGATTTATTTGCTCGTATATCTTTCTCTTTGCTTTTGCTAGGTACAACCCCCCTGAAAACAGTAAGTGTAACTGCTGTTTGCTTCTCATTTCTTACAACTAAGCACTCTTTCAAGCTCAGCCGAGTAAGGCTGCAAATCGTTTTGCGGGGTAGTTTTCTTTAGTCTTCCCTTCTTCAAGGGTTTTACCTGCCTTTTCTTCTCATTTCAAACGATTAACTCACTTGCTGGCAATGAAATGACGTCAATTACTTTATAGTAATTACAGACAGGAAATTCTTTCATTTTGGAGAATAATTATATCAGAAAGTATTTTTCAAGCTCTCAACTTTGAAATGATAATCAAACAACACCCATCATTTACATCCACTGAAACTGGATAACAGAGGGCATTCTAGCGAATTAAGGTAACACGTATAAATCTTTGTTGATCTTAGTGTCCCTGTAAAGTCTCCTTCCCCCCTTTTCATAGCTTTCAAGTAGAGTACGGTATTTTAAACCCAAAAATCGTTTTAAATTTCTTACCAAATTCGTTTTGAAATGAGATGCTTTTTATTACTGTTATATTTTTCCTTTAACTTTACATTAAATACCAATAATTATTTTTCAAAATGCAATAGATGTATAATTCTGGGCCAATTTAGCACCAAAACAAGAGAAAAGAATTCAATTATGCTTTTGTTTGGTTAAATTTGCTTAAGTAAATATTAAAATTAGCTTATGCGCACATTCAAAATAAAGGATTGGAAACTAAATTGGAAACTAGGCAAAAACACTAAGCGCCTTATAAAAATGAATAAGTCTATTAACAAGTTTTCCTTTCAGCAAATTAGACTTGCACCAAATTACGGAACGCAACTCCTGATCTCCTTTAAGCTTAGCTAATTAAAGAGAATTTTCTTTAATCTTCCTTAAGCTGTTTAATTATTGCGACTTTTATAAAAGTTCTCGTTGCAAACTTTTGTGCTTTAGAATGAAACCTAGGGAAACATTGAATAATAAGCTCGATCTCCCAGCCCATCTTTACGAATAGTGAAAATTTTCCAACTTAATTATCTGCTCAGTTTCTCTCAAATTTGCATTAAATTTTATCTAACAGACTTCAAATATCTGCTAGATTACAGTTCTTTTTTTAAGCATGTAGACAAAGTATGTTTATAGATTTTTGTCTTAAATTTTTATAAAACTTAAAGGCAATACTGTTCTTAAAACTCTTACATAACTCATTTTCAGGAATGTTATTTCAGCTTTTAACAAAATTAACCTCATTTAAAGCCCCCCAACCTTATATTTTGTCAGCCACTAGATTTCAGTGCACATATTGAGCTTATTTAAAGTATTTCAATTAAAATTTGTGTTGCTTTATAAACAAAGTCATGAGCTCAGGATTTTAAATAAGCAAATGAATTAGATTTTCTTTCAACTTAAGATAAAAAGTGTTTCAAATACTACAGCTTAAAATTTATGATAACATCAAAATGAATACATAATTTACATCTGGACACAAAGAAATAATTTTAAGTCTTTTAAGGTTTGATTCTAAATCAAAAAAGCTAAACATTTAGCCATTTATTTATCATCGCTGATTCTGACACAAAGGTAATGAATAGTTTCAGTAACGAAGAACGCCTGTTCAATGACAAATATGAGAAAAATATTTATAAGTGGCCATTTTAATTTAGAGACAAATCTAATTTGAACGACTTCTTGAAAATCAGCGGTTTTACGTAGAAATGAATATATTACAATATAAGCTTTTATAGGTAAGTTTATATATTATTGCAAAAGTTTTTATAGGTTCTATGTTTTTTTTTAATTTTTTTAAACTTTTTTGTGAATTTAATTATATTAATGTAATGGTTCACTATGCTAATCTAGTATGGGAGATTCACAGATGAGTCCAATTTTCTGGGTGGTGAGTTCCAGATATAGAGTTTCAATTTAAGAAATTAATCATACCAGAGAGGTTCTCAACCACAGGTTTTATTGTTGTTTCACATGAATCCTAAAAAAGAGCGGACATTTTGAAAACTCTAATTTTAAGTTTAAGAATATTTTCTTTAGCTAGCAGAAAAGTATGCATATTATTCATAAAGTAATGTACATTTTGGCCTAATTTGCAATGTAGCAGCTCAATTACGTCTTAATTTGGAAATATTCTTTAGATTTTCAGGCAGAAATTCACGTATTTTTATTGAAAGACACCATACAAAATACATATAATTTGTTAAACATTTTTAATGTCAATGTATTTAATGTATTTATATACATGACTGAAATCATTCTCTTTGGATGCTTAACTTTATAACAACTTACAAAAAAATATTTTTGCTTAGGTTGTGACCCAGCAGAACCATACTTCCAGAATATGCCACCTAGTGTGAGACTGGATCCAACAGATGCTCAATATGTAGATGTTATTCATTCAGATGCTACAAATATCAAGTTTATCGGTATTTATTTACTCTTATCTACATCATTTACTATCTAAGAGTATTTATTTACTCTTACCTACATCACTTACCATCATCTAATTTAAGCATACACATGATCACAGTCTGACCGGGACAGAAATAACAGTAAAAAGATCATCATAAATCACTGTTATACATTTGCAAAAATGCTACTTGTAGTACTTGATAGAGGAAAGCTAAAATTTTACCAAAGCACGAGCAAAAGCTCTGCTATTCCTCCCTGATTCACGTGAACACTTTTTCCAGCAAATCAGTCGTCTGTTAAAATTCATCCATCGATCAGCAAAAGTGCAGTACTGTTATTGGTTATTTATTTATTTATTATTTTGCCTGCTTCACCTCTCAGTGGGCACTACAGGTCATCCATGTCAACCTGATCGTTGCAACAGCAACCTCTTTTGGTTGTTTATCTTTTCAACCTTATTATTAATAAACAGATTCAACATTAGCTGATTACATTTTTTGGGTGCTAGCAAAATGAGTTAGTTTAGAGACATTTACATATATGCATGAATGGACCCTTGCTGCCTTTACATTTCTTCAGGTGCCTAGACCTGGTTATCTGCTATGATTATGTTTCACTTAGAATAGAATTATTCTCTATTGGTTCTGACGCCTCGCTGTCCGCAGTGATCGCAGTGATCCTGAAGAAGGTCTTTGAGGCTATGCGATTCCTGGAGCTGAAGAAGGGAGGCTCTGATGGAAGAAGTAAGTGGACAGTCGTTAATGTAATGTGAAACGCCTGCTGAAGAAGCTGAGAGACCACAGGCTCATTTGACGTTTTGACGCAGAACCTGCTGAGGAAGGCGGGAAATCTTCCGTGATTTGTAAAAGCTTGTTTTAGATAGAAGTCTGTTTCGAGCCTCTTAGTCGAGACCACAAGAAAGATGGAGTAGGTGTGTCGATCGGTGTCTTAGTCGTCCAATCGAGCAGATTTACATGAAGGGGAAGAAGATCTTGTGTCTGGAAGGGTGACTTGTGGCTTCTTTAGCTAAATAGTCGGCCCTTTCTTTACCTTGGGTACGTTGATGACTTTGCACCCAGCATAGAGACACTTGTCTGGAAGAAGACAGGGTAATAAGCATTTCACTTAATGAGGAGATGTGGAAGGCGTGCGTGCCATTCTTGTTCACGGTCTGTAGGACGCTCGTGCTGACCTGTAGAAGCTAATGGATGGAAAATTGGTGTTGTCTTCCCAGAGAGCTGCCTTCTTTTGAGGGAAGGATTCAGCCTGGAAAACCGAGGTCGCTAAGGTCTGAACCCTGCTGAGTGAATTTCTGTATTGTTGTGGTTACCGTGCTAGTCATCCAGATGGGGCAACCGTAAGGGATCCTCCTTTCAAAGCCCCTCAAATAGAGTTCTTTCAGAAGTTTCCCTTTTAGGTTCCATGTATTTGTGACGATGCGATTTAAGCTATTGATAAGATTGCATATTTTATCGCGTATCATCGTTAAGTGTGGTACCTAGATGAGTTTTCTATGAAGTAAGAATCCTAGGTATTTTAAAGTATCTTCATTTTTTAGAGCTTGGCCCTGCCATTTTATCCGGGGAGGGCTATTTATAAGTTTATTACCCTTTTGAAAGGTTATTAATTTTGCTTTATCAATGCTGAATTTAAACTTGAGTTTAAGGCTCCAGTCAGTGATAAGAGACTTTTCCGCTTTCGGTTTGTTTTTTTTTTCTTGAATAATTAGGAAATATTCGTCGGCGTAGGCTGGATTTGAGCGTTTCCTTCGAAATCTAGACCTAGGGCAGTGTTCTCAATGAGATTGCACAAAATTTGGGCTGATGTTGGACCCTTGGGGACGCCTTTGTGATAGTCGTGAGTGACATTGACCCCATCTCGCTGGTAAGTGATTTTACGATTGGGAAGATAACTGCCTATGATCCGAAAGAGGTTCTTAGGACATTGAAGATGTCTGAGTTAGTCCCTAAGGGCTTGCCACCAGAGTTGGTTGATAGCCGAGGCCGCGCCTAAGGAGATAATACACTTGTGGAGACATCGCTGCTTGCTGTGTTGTATTTCTTCTTGTAGCCTGTGAAGCACGTCAATGGTGCTCTTTTCCCATCATAAAGCCGTATTGCGCTTTGATCATAAGGTGGATTTTCTCCAGACGGAATTTGAGATGTCTGGTTATTAGTTTATCTAGGACTTTTCCTGGGTTGGAAAGGCGACAAACAGGTCTATATGCGTTCGGATGCTTAATGTCTTGCCCTCTTTCTTGATAAGAACAAGCTCGCCATTCTTCCAGGTGTCTGGAGAGTAGCCTTTTTGAAGACACGCACTGAAACAATATATTAGGCGGTCTTCATTTGCGATTCTTAACTCTTCGACGAAGTCTATATTGAGTTTGTCCAGGACTGCGGCTTTGCCTCTTTTGATAGTTCCTATGATCTTTCGAATTTCTGTGATAGTGAAGAGGGGATCATTTGGCGTGTTTAGAGGGCTGCTTGCTGATCTCCTTATCTCCCTGTGACGTTGGGTGTTTTCGCCCCTAGTGCCGTCGGGAATGTGATATTTGAGAATTTCTCTAATAGTGTCTTCAACTGAAATTGTGGTTGAACCATTTGGTTTGAGTATTGAGCTTAATTGTATGGGGTCCTAGGCTTTTGTCCTTGATGAAAGGACCCCAGCAGAGAAGAGATCTCCCAGAATTTGTCCCAGGAGGCTCTTTTGGCCTCTAAGATCTTTTGTCTATAGATAGCTCGTTCCCTATTGTAGATGACTCTGTTTTTGGTGAGCATATTTCCTGAGGCGCGATAGTACCGCCTTAGTGCTCGTACCTTTTTTCTTGTAATCATGAGATCCTGAATCCATCATGGGGTTCTTCTATAATGCTTGTTGTTCTTATTTGAATTACCGACTTTCTTAGGCGCTTATAATTTTCATGTATGAGTTTCGTTGTGATCTCTATGTGTTTATTTCCGTGATGGTATGTGGTAGTGAAACTGCAGAATAGTGTTCTGCGAGTTTTCCCCTGAATGTCATCCAGTCTATATGATTCAGTTTCAGTTTGTTGGTGTTTTTGCTCTGTAAGTCCACATTATCGATGTCATATTGGACGTAATTATGGTCACTGAGGTTTGCTTTCTCCAGGACTTTCAGTTTGAAATCTCGATTGGATTTTCTTTGCGAATTAAAGTGAGATCAACCCGCGATGTACCTTTGGAACCAGAGAAGGTAGAAGGGCTATCTGGATTGTTAATGACTGTTAAACTTGTAAGGATCTTAAGTTTTACTAACGTTTATTTTATTTTAAATCTTTACTATCACTTCTTATTTTCTACTTCCGGCCAGAATTATAAGCGTGAAGGAGTTTATGCAAAGTTGTCTGGCGAACGCCAAGTATTTAAGTGTGGCCTTTTTGCCAAGCAGGAGAGAGGAAGCCGTGAGTTCGAAGCAGGCCGCTTACCTTAGAAGTTACGCAGTTGCTACTTTGCCTTCCAGGCCAGAGGTTTTAATCCTCTTGATAAATTAAACGTATTGTAGTGTTCACAGTCTCTGTGCTACATACGCTTTCTGTTATTATAAGGCCAATCTTATTCTAAAGTTAAATTAGAGTTTAGTTTTATTTTGATATCTTTTAAGTTAGACCCCGAGTGGAGGGTCATTGTATTCCGAAGTACGGAAGTCATTGTATATAAAGAAAAAATAAAGGGTTTTGTATACCCTTCGTCTGTATCCTGTCTACTTACTACAATTTGGGAACATAGCTTTAGTAAGCTCTCTGTTCTAGTCAGGTCATTGTATGTTTCCGAAGAAGGTTAGAAGAAACATTGAACCTGATAAACTCATGGCTGCTAGTAGTTCACATATCTTGAGGCCTCTTGAGTTTGGCTCGGTAGGATCCCAAACTGGATGTTTCCCGTTAAGTCTCCGCTAATTATAACTGAGATAGAGTCATTTGTTGTGATTAAGCTCTCTAGTGAGGGCAATGTAGGCTCAGTTACCTGTGATAGAGAGCAGTATACAGTAATGTTCAGAAAAGGCTGGTTTCCTTCGATTTCTGATGTGATGTAAGTATGATTGCCGCTTTGGCGTTCTGTGTTGCGTAGAATTTTCTGAATCTTGTGGGGAATCCTTGTAGATGATTGTTTCTTACGTATGGTTCCTGCATGCATGCTATTTTTATATCTTTATTTTGTTCTAAATGTTCTCTTAAGTATGTAGTTGCACCCCGAGAGTGCTGTAGTTTTATCTGAAGTATGTGTATTTATAATTTATTCTTTGTTTGTATTTTTGTAACTCTCGTAAGTAGCATGTACATTTTCTGTCACTACTGTCATGACGGGCGTTTAACCCTGCAATTAAATTTCACATTTATTTTGTAACAATTTATACATATTATGGATCCCTTTTTGCAAACTTTTTCTGATGGCCCTCAGATCCGTAGCCTGTACACTTCACATTTTTTGTAAAGCTTTTGGTGGAGTGGTTATGTCCTATATTTGTAACACTGCGTAATTTGGAGGAATTCTCTAACATTTTTCTTGGTCCATTGGACGTTTAGTTCCTTATTTATCATTATTGCTTTGAAAGAAATAGGAGTCAATGGAGGATACCCAGTGTTTCCTAAATATTCTTTTCATTGAAAAGAGAATCTCAGTATTTGCGTTTTCCAGATCTTTATTCTGGTAAACTAATTTATTTTGTAGATCCTTCTTGTCTAGATCTTTATTAAAATTATACATAACTATCTTTGGGTTTATTTTCTGCGGTCGTTTGGTCTCAACTATGGTTTTTAACTGTTTGTTTTCCCGAATGACTTCTTCGAATAAATCTAACTCCTCTTTTTCTCGAACTTCCTCGGATATTAGTTCCTTATTGGGATAGACAATGGTAACGTGTTCTTGTTCTTGTTTATTACTGTTTTGAGTTCTTGCTCTAGAAGTAGAACGTCCTCATTTTGCTATGCTGGCTATATTGGTTTTCCCGTTACTACTATCCCTCTTACGTAGTCTTCAATGTTTTTGGTCTGCTCAAGCTCACCTTCTAGTTTGGCTGTTCTACAGTTTTTATCCGTAATGAGGTTGAGAACTTTCAGAAAATGATTTTTGAGATTTTTACATGCTTTTTTGGATATTTCGTATGTGACTACCAAGCCGTCAAGATCAGCGACATAATCTAGCCCTTCCTGCACACTAACAGTGTCATCTGTTGTCGGAATGTCTTTATTTGGCACTTGTAAGATGACCTGCTCTTTTGCTGGAACGTCCTTATTTGGCATCTGTGAAATATCCTGCTCTGATGCTGGAGCGCTGGCTGATTGCTCTTAGCTGTCAGGGCATATTTGCCTCTTTGGCTCCGTGTTATTACGACGTGCCATCTTGCTTTATGGCTTGTACTTCGCAAGATAATGCGTATATTATATTAGTAGAGATATCAAGGATTTAACTAAATATAATATCAAGGATTTAACTAAATATAAGTTTAATTCTAGTTTAACTACTTCTATTATCTAGTTTAATTTATAATTATGAAATATATTTATTTTTAAGATAATATTTTATTTTTTATTATTAAACCAGTTAAATATTTATTGCATGTGGTTTTAAGTTGAAACTATACCATGCGCTTTATAAATAATGGCTTCTATTATCTTCTAAATGAAAATTTATCTATGAAAATTAACAAAATTGTTATATCTTTAGTTGTTATAAATATTTTCTCATAAAATTAATATGATTAATTTAGAAAAAATTTTCGTATAAGTCTATTATAAAATTATTATATTTCACTGCACCAATTTTACAGTATTTTGAATTTTATAGACATACCATTACGTTGACTAAATTTTCACAATTGTAACACTGCTTCAAATCAAGCTGTCTAATTTACAATCTCGTCTCTCTGATAATTCCTTCAAAAATCTTCTAACCGCTCTGAAAGTATTCAGAAAGTACTCCGCTGTATTCCTCTTACAATAAGCTTTCGTTTTATATATAACTTATCTCACAAAACACTTTTTTCGCACCTAAAACTTAACCTTTTAAGAGCTTAAAAAATTGCATACATCACAGCCCTCAGACTAAGAGATGAATCGCTGTTATTGGTTAGTCGAATTTAAACATGCCATGGTTGCATAGAGGATATTTCAACTGAAATACAAAATATAATCTCCAGAGACAAAGAATAATTACAGCATCGCATAAGAAACTTTTGGAAATGGATTCATTAGAAAAGAAGAAATCGATTGGAAAAGGGGCAAGAGGAAAACATTTGTGGACCATGTAAGCACAAGTAAGTCTATTCGTTGCGAAAGTAGAGACTTCTCAATCCCAAAGTCAACAGAGAACAATGTCGTTCTGAAACATTAGATACTTATGCTTTCAAAATCTAACTGATACAACAGCTAAAGCATAATGATCAGTTCGCATTCGAAGTACTAGTAAAACTTCGGCAATTATTTTCTTCGGAAGTTGATGTTCAGCAATAAAAGCATCGCTCATGTCTCAAGAGTATCCAGTTGATGTAATGCTTGAGTGTCTTATATTCTACATGAAGCGAGTAAGACTGAACGAGGTTTCTGTTGTTACAATATTACCATCGATAAAGTCATAGGCGCTTTCTTTATTGTAGAGAAGATTATGTTTCTAAAAATGCTTAATTGGCACTGGGTCATCCTTCATGTACTAGCAGGACTCGTCTTCCAAAAAGATAAAACAACCCGTCATTTTGCTACTCATTTGAGAGCATAAATTTGGACCAGTACTTCTGACTGGGAGTGACAGAGCCATCGCCTTGCCTCTGAGTTCTCGAGAGTCAGATTTGAAATTTTGTAACTAAGCAAAACCAACAGATTCGAAGTTCACTGTAATTTTTATGTTTTAATTTCGTTAAAATAATCTTAGCTGCACTCTTTCTCGTCCGAAAGTGTCATGAATACCATTATCTATCTCAGAAAGTAACTAAATGCACTAGCTCCCAAGTTATACTGCAGCTCCTGCTCGACGCGCCACAACCAGACTGCGCTCTCAGTACAACAGAAGCTCCAACCAAACGCTCTACAACTAAAATTGTCAGTGCAACAGAACTTGCACTGAAAGAGAATAAATCATGGTAGAGTATCCTCTAAGTCTGTGGTTGTCAGCCATTTTTGGCATATTGCTTGACGATTATTCTTACCCTCCTGCTTTCGAAAACTAAAAAAAAAATATATATATATATATATACGCTTATTTAAATTTAGGTTATTTCTTAATGCGCTTTATAAATTAAACAAGAAAATATGTAGAAAATGTTGATAAATACCAGAACTTGAATGAATGCAATTTTTTATATTCATAAACTAAACAGATAGCAAGTAAATAGAAGGCTGACCATTATTTCTCTGAAACTATGAAATTCACTCCTCGAGAGAGGAATTCCCTCTTCCTCTAAGCAGAAAAGCCTTTTATCAACTTCTGTGAACTACCTGTATAACTAACCAAATTAAATGTATCTTGGAATACGATCATAAGTAGCTTTACTCACACTAATTTTAAAACAAATTACTTTCTATGCTGTCGCTTGTTTCTCTCAAAGGCTGAAAAAATCGTAATAAATTGTTCAAATTATTGTAGTGCGATTTTTAAAAAGAAGCCATCGCAACTACAATTTCTTTCATTGTCGATAGCAGAATTTTTGTGTAAGTTAGAGGTTTTTGGCTGAGAATAAAAGCATTACACGGTGAACATAATTGCGCGTGCTAGCTATTCTTGTACTTGAACACATACTTCGGTTTTTCATAGCAGCAAAGAGGAAACCTAAAGTTTCACATAAAATACAGGGTTATTCATAAATCTATGACACATTCTAAATATTTATTTCATGTAAAGTCACAACCAGAGCCTAAATTTTTCACCTGAAATAAACGCAATATTATTTTTCTTTTTTCACCCCCTCCTGTATTTCGTAAGTGTTTAGTGTGTCGGCCTTTGCAAGAACGGAACGGCAGGCATTAACGCACCATTGGAAGGATTTACTTGAACATATTGAAAGCTGGCTGATGCCACAGTTGAATGGAAATAGTAATCACTACTTTCGACAAGACAGTTGTCCAGCTCACCGCAAAGATGATTAATGGAAACTTTTGCAGAGCACCTCAATGAACATTTGCCATGGATTTAATCCCAGGGGCATTTTCCTCTGTCCTCCGCTGATCTCCAATATTTTTGCAACCATGTCATTAGTACTGTGGTTCTGGCTTGGCGTAATATATACTGCCACCGCGTCAACAAAGGTGAACACGAGAAGCATTTGTGTAACATGCAAAGTAAAATTATGAAGAATTTTTATCTATTTTAGCATAAAGAAGTCTGGTATAAGTTGCGCAGTTTATTAGTGTCACAGAATTATGGTGTATTACATAGCGTGGGCTAATGTACTAAAATGTGTCACAGAACTAGGAATAACCCTACTGAAACTTAATGCGCTCTTAAATGTCTGTTAAAAGGTCATTAACCACAAAACCCTAAAATGCAGTCAAACACATAATAAGAAACAAAATATTATAATTTTTTATCTTTACTGGTCTTTACTAATCTCGATTTGCATTTACGAGTATCAATAAAAGCCCTTAATTTGAATACTAGGATATAAGCACTGGCGTAGGGAATAATTTTTAAAAAGTTGAAAAATATCCCTCCGCCGTACGTTCTAAAAATTAATTGTGTCTAATGCAGCATATTTATTGAAATTAAATCTTAGTAATAACTCTAAGCACTTTACAACAAATGTATAAATTTTTCAATTAGCTTTAATATAAATTTTCTTGCAATTTTCATCTGTATTATAAAACATTATTTATTTCAATTCACAGGATTTGGAATGAGCCACATGGTCGGACATGTAGACTTTTTCCCAAATAATGGAAGGAAGCAACCAGGCTGCAAAGTAGACAAATTTAAAAGTTTTATAACTGATGGATTAGTTGAAGGTATGAATTGAGTTCTGTTTCTAATTCTGGTTCTGTTCCAAACAATTTCTTTAACTGCAACATTTGACAAATCCTTAACTAGGTTTTAAATTGGTATTCTGAAGTTTTATGCAATCTATTACATTAATTTCTGATTAATCTGCATATTGCTTGATATCAAAATTTTCATCTATCTCCATCTGGTTCTTCTTTTTCCATCAGAAACATAAATATCAGCATTTCTTAATTGAACTAAGCTTTAAATATCGATATAAACGTTCTCTGCAAAAATGAAACTGAAAATTTCAGAGGTTGTAATCGTCTAAATATAAGAAATGCTTTTAAAAAGTAAGCATTTTTACGGAAATCAAACTTCAGTTTCTGTTGTCTCCCTTGATATTCAAAATTACGTAAACAAATACTTTTTCCCAAATAATGTTTAAAATCTCCCAAAAAAACTGAAAATTGCAAGTTACATATAAATTTCTGGATGGCAACTGTAATTCGCGTATATACTTGATGCTCCCTTTTTTTTTACACGGACGGTACACTAGTAACAACTGGGCCTCTTTTTCTACATAAATCTGCTATTTCATGATTGAGGCATATCTTCAAAAATTTGTATATCGCAAAACTATGACCTTGCATTATTATTTTTTACTGTTATATTGACCCTTCAGGAACTGAAATAGCTCTGCACTGAATTTTATCCAAATTCGTGGGAATACGTTTGTAGGGAGTGGCTTATATAACTGGCTTTTGCTACTTAAATTGCGGATTTCAGTGAACTGACAACATATCATAATTTAGAGATATTAGATGGAAATGAGTTCGCATTATTCATTTTGTAGAGACATTAGGTATTTTGGAAGCAGGAGACTTGAAAAATGAGCAAACGTTTTCGCCGGGAATCGAACCGCGGACCTCTGGAATACGCGCCCAACGTGTAGACCACCACCACGAAGGCATGCTAAGAAGGCGGAAGAAATACCTTATATGCTTTCCCTTTTAAAGGGCGACTGGCGTTTTTAGGGGACCCAATCGCCAAATCATAGGTGCGGAGAATCATCCTCCACCACACTTTTTAGTTTAAGCGCCACTGTAGAGTCATTAGGTTAATTGGTAAGCCCGGAGAGAGGAAAAATTAGCAACACCTTCGCAGGGAATTGAACCATGGACCTCTGTAATACGCACCTAGCGTACAGACTACCACACCACGAAGGCATGCTAAGAAGGCGAGAGAAATGCCTTATAATTTTTAAAACACAATGTTTTTAAACCCCCTTAAAAAATTTAATAATAAACAAGTCTTCTGCGATGGTAATTAAAAATCCATAACTAATCTACTTCTTAAGCTTAAAATTCAACTAATACAAATATATTTTCAGGTATCAGAAGATTTGCAAGTTGTAACCATCAAAGAGCGCTGGACTTTATGTACTACACTATAAACTACAGAAAAATTGTGCCAGTAGGGTATCAGTGCTCAAACTGGGAAACGTTTCTTCAAGGTAAATGCGCAGAGTGTGGACCAGACACTAAAAAATGTGCCATCATGGGTATGAGAGCGGATGAGTATAAATCTTTCAAAAATGACAAAGTTCAGCGAGCCTATTACCTTAAGACTTCTGGAAAAGCCCCTTTCCTTCGTAAGTTTTTAAATGTGATAATTTTCAATTTATTAGTTATTAAAAATTTTCTCCATCAAACACTAATGATGCAATCGGAAGATAGTTTCCAAATCGTAATATTATCTATTCAAATTTTAATAACTGTGCAATTAATTAAATATTTTTTAATGTGTTAAGAATGCGAAATTTGAATAAAAATATTTTCTTTAACTGATCAGAATGCAAATCGACACCCTGAAAATACGATTTTTAACTCTTGGATTCCTTATATTTATAACTGTTTCGAAACTAATTCTTTAAACACAATTCAGAAACTCAAAGGTTTTTCTAAGTTTAAAAAATTATCTCCAATATCAAAACAACAAAACACTAGCAGTTCAGCTCATGGTACTTGAACGCCTGGCTGCATGAAAGCTTTTGTAGTTTTCCCCATTGGTCAAATAAATACTAACTAGTTTTTCGTAGAAATTTCTCCACAAAAGTCTCTCTCCTGCCAAAGAAATAAGCCTAATGTGTTTTGTTTAATTAGTTAACCAACTACTTTTATGCTGTATCAGTACATGATAGTTCAAGATTTATAGAAAACTATTTACAAAATAATCACGCAACATTAATATCTTTACGTATTTTCTGTAAACAATGGAAGATCGTTACTTCAACTGATTTTAAACCGCGAAGACGCGTGCTACTTTTAGCTACGCGAGGACCCGCGTCGGGCTCCGCAGGCCCGAAGCGTTATTTCTTAACAAAACAAAAATTAAATTGCTTGTGTAATTGAAGAAAAACATTTAAATAATAAAACCAGAGTGTATAAAAATGTAAAAATATACTTTTAATTTAATAAGTCTAATAAAATTGTATTTTAAACAATTTTAAGACTGAAATTATTTATTATTAACAACAAAAATTAAACTGATTTCGAGCGCAAATGAAATTTAGTATTAATTTATGCAATATTAAATTTTTACAGCAATAATTTCAAAATAAAACATTTCAGATTATTTTGCAAATATTCGTGCTGTGTTTACCACAAACATTTTCTCGCACATAGCGCAGTAAATTTGTGATTTTCGGTCCGTTACGCCAAGACTGTAAACTTATTTGCAACTTTCAACGAACTTTTCAAAGGCATATATTATCGGACCCATTTTATTAATTTCCCTTCTAGAAAGGCGATCTCTTATGTCATCAAATAAACATCTCATTAGAAATAACAAACGTTTGTTAGACATTGTTCGATGAAAAATGTCAAGCACTGTTCCGTCAGTCACCCAAAGGTAGAGAACATTTACGTGAGAAGCCTTGTGGAGTCCTCCAAAGTAAAGAAGACAAATAAATGTTCTGATTTCTGTAGTATTTGTGGATCGAGCATCTCTCTATCTTCCAAATTTGACGGCAATGGATTCGATATAAATGTTCGCACAATCTACTAGAATTTTTACTATTATTTTATCCATAAGCAGTTGAAAAGAATTCATAGGGGAGGACACAAATTTTGCTTCACAAACATTCCCGAGCAATTTTCTCACAATGTTGTGAGCAAAAGTTCTCACATAAAGTCTTGGTTCTTTTTTTATTCCATTTTGTCACATTATATTTGACATGATAACAATTCGCTGACGGACACAAAATTACATAATTCATTACTAGATTCATCGCTTGAGTCTAATGCCTCTTCAGAATTCGATTGGGGATCACTAAACTGTTCTTCACCAACTATTTCTTAGTCCTCTTCATTAATCGTATCTTTATCAGTCAACACTTCGGCTAACAGTTTCTGTAGGCTCTTCATTTCATCGTCATTACTCAAATAGCAAGACCTTTTTGCAACTGCCTGATCTCTTCCACAGTTTTAAATGACAATGCGAGCGCTCGCCTCGGGCCTGGGAAGCCCGGTTACGCAGTTTCTGAGATAAGATGAAGGGTTAAATTCCGAAAAGGCTTGTGAATGACAAGTACATGACCTTAAACACAGCTACTGAGAAGGTCGAAAAATTTCACCAAAGAGAGGCCCGACGCGCGCTCTCGCGGGTTAAATTAAGGTTTTATTGATACATCTTTCAGCATTTAAATGAAATTCTTTTCTAATTAAAACTTTTGAACTGAACAGCATATAACTTTTCATAAGTTTCTTTAACCCTTTGCGGTACGGTGTGCCCAGTTAGGGCACACCTAAAAATGTCCTTCTGTACGCACAGAAAAATTGAATGAAAAAGAATTTCGAAGTTACTATAGGTTACTCTGAACCTTCTTTATTCATAGGAGATGGTAGCTCAACTCAAACCAGTCCATATATTTTAGCCATGTTTAGTTTTTTAAGACCCTCATTTTTCAAAGAATTTTAGAGTATAAAAGGAATTGTTTGAAAAGAAATTTCTATGTTATTTTTTGGCTGTATGCTAATCTCCTTATTCTATATTAGTTTTAATTCTTTACATTGAAATCTTGCCTAAAATCGAACAGCGAACCCGAGGTGTGCCCAGACGGGGCACACCAAGACTCTAGGACAACTGAGAGACTATATTCTTTGTTTCTCCGTATCTCATCGGTCAGTTCATGGACAACAGAAATGTGAGTCCACATCTGTGTTTCATTTCCTGGTTTTCAGGCCCACCAGCGGCCGAGGGGTAAAGTCGCTGAACAGTGGTAGTTCGGTCCGAGGTTCGATTCCCGCAAACGGGCTGGCTGCATGGGTGTTTTCGTGGTTTCCCCATGTGTAACGTGTAAACGAGCCAGTTTCCCTTAGAAAGTCCTCCACGAAGGCATCCCTTCCCCTAGGCAGATAGCCCTGGTGTGCTTTGCCGTAATTAAATACACACACACACATTTCCTGGTTTTCTCTTTCTTCTTTTCTCTCTCTTTTTTTTTCGGGGGGGGGGGGGACGTTTGGCTATTAACTAACAAATTCTTGGGGTGATTTTCTGAAGGTCAAGGGTAATTTTATCAGTTTAGTTGTTTGGTTTTTTCCTAGAGCAGTTCTCTTTTTCTCTTTCGCTTTCGTTCAAAGTTTCGCTAGAGCTGCTTTTAGTAGTTTTGAGTTGTAGACGTATATTTAATTTTATTTTACAGTTTATATTTTCTAATTGTAGATATAATATTAGTTCATTTTTTCGGATTTTTAATCATTTTCAAAACGGATAGGAGAGGTCTGACCATTTCTGAAGCATTGAAAGTGCTACACGAATTGCTTCAGATAGTGAATCTGATACGGATCCCGGTACATGTGCAAAACATACAATATTGGGTTATGCTTTTTCAAAGGTGGTATCACTTTCTTCGAAAAGTACCACCACGAAAAAAGTAGACTGAAGTGTAAATATGAAATGTAAACAATGTAAATATCATATACCCAAGTTACGTTTTTTTTTTCATTCATACGCATGTAATCATAATATAACCAAAAAAGAGCCTTTTATGGGGCTGTAGAGTAGCAGGTCTTCCCGTGGCACACCCTAGGTAATGTTAAATCTGCTACGGTATTCAGAATCTAGTGTTTTTTAATTGTAGGCAAAATCTCTTACTCTTTTACGCATTTCCCAGCAATGCTCGTTTCAGCACTCTTTTCGAAGCTCTATTCAATCAGTGTGCGCCCTTTGGGCACACCCACAGAATTAAAACGATAAGTGTTATCTTCACAAAATTTTACTTGTGCACTCATCTAGGTCTAATTAGACTGCCTACCTATTTTTATCGAAATTCCAACTTTAAAAAGTAGCGTGTCGGAAAAAGTTTTAAAGGCAGGTGCAAGTAGTTTGGAATTTTCATTACGATATTAATAATTATTTGATGACATAAACAAAGTCTATATACAATGATATTGAAACCAAATTTCAAAATGCAGGTTATATATTTTAGTGTCAAATTAAATTTAAATATTTTCTATTCAAATTCATATTTTTAATTGCTTAATCCATTTATATTTAGGAAACTTTTGTTACATGAAGAAATTCATTAATTAGTTTGATTAATTCTTAACTCCACTCTTTCCCCTTTCTTCGAATTTTTCATACGAGAATAACTGGCATAAATAATATAAAATTGTATATAATGATAAATGTCCTTCAAAATAACTTTTAAATTACATTATGCTTTCCAATCATAAGTCTCAGCATTGTTTTAAGATGTCTCACTAGTGCATTGTTTTTGGTCTAAATTTGGGGAATAATATATTCTTAAATATTTTGCCATAAGTGAGTAACTGTTTGTTATTTTTCTTCTTTTATCTGCAGTATACCATTACCAAATCTCCATTAAATTCCTTAAACCTAAAACTTCAGACAAAGATGTAAAGGGTACTATAGATGTCGCTCTTTTTGGATCGAAGCAAGATGAAATATTTCACGTCCAGGATAAGTAAGTAAATATAACCTATGTCTAATGCTGTAACAAACTGTAACACTGAAGATATTTTTGGCATTACATATAGGTTCTTCTAAAGTTGAATTTCTAGGCAAAGCGTTTGCCAGATTTCTGGATTTTAAATCCATCAGATCAAAATAAAAATAAAGAATTAAAACAGAAGATATTTTATCATTTAATTCGAAAGACTATTTTGGCGTTTTTGAAATTTAGTCATTCTATACTGTTAATGTGAATTACTAAATATAAGCTACTAATTTCAACAAGGTGGCCCGTGCAGAACAGTGTCCAAGGTTCTAGAAACCTCTTCTTCCACGATCAACATCTCAAAAGGATTTTTGGCTTAACAGGTGTTTAAATGCCACCTATATTACACAGACACTATACTCACAACCGTTAATATCTTACTCGGTATTCTAATATTAATTCAGGGGCATAGGAATCCTTCAACCTGTGCTCGATCGAACTCACATCTTAAAGTTAGGAAGCTAACTTTTCAGTCAGATATAGAAAACCGAGTTGTGAAATGAAGGTATTATTTTTTAGTTCAATAACTTTTAAACATACATTACACTTTTGGTTCTGTAGCAGCATAAATATCGTTTAGGTTTTCCTCTTTGCAAAGAAATGGTGGTATTCCACACATAGCAAATCTAAAGTACTAAACAATGCAATTTTATCTAGTACTAAACAATTCAGCGAGACCCAAACGCTGTATCACGGAATTTTTAAACAGACAATTGCGAGATGAAAGTATTACACTTATACCACACTTAAGATCTTATGACACAAAGTTTCTAGGGCTGAATTACTTTACATGGGTGAAAAAAATGCCTGGTCAAATTGGGCCTGTACGTCCAAAACTTGTTCTAAGGCTGTATAGTACTTTCTCTTTAACTTAGAATGGGCCTTTAACTTTTTGTTGACACTTCTTCCGAAAAAAAAGTTTTTAAGTCTGATATCGTTTAACTTTTGCAAATCTGAATGCGTTCTAGTCAGTTATCGTAAAAAAATATATAAACAAACACGTACATACATACATGTATTCACATATTCGTATTACATATATGAATTTAAGTAGTAATATATATAATATATATATAACCTAAAGTAGAACATCTGTAGAACCAAAGCTTTACAATCGGGTACACTTTTAAAAGGCACAGAGAAAATTTTAATAATTTATTTTTCAGTATGATCTTCTTTTACCTCGATACATCTTACACGTAGTTTAAGGAGCTAATCTGTGCTTCTGAAAAAATAATCAGAAGGCTTGTTCTCAAAATGTGCCATAACTGCTGTTTTTCACACGATCATCATCATCATTCAATCTCTTTCCGCGAAGGTCAGATTTCAGTTTGGAGGAGATTCAGTTTCATAATAATCATTGGAGCTAAATCTGTGCTCTAAAGGCGGCTCAAGTTCCTTAACATTTTCGCGTATTTTGTGGGCTATAGAGACTGGTTTTTAATGTATTGAAGCTATTTAGTCTATTATTCAATCAGCAGGGACCCGAAAAACAAATTAACAGTATCTGTCGATCATTGCATGTTCCGCATTAAACAGCAAATTTTAAATCTCTAGCGAATTAAATTTCTTTGAGCCTTATTTAATATAGTGAACGCATGGGAAATATATATCCCAGTCTCCCAAAAAAAGTTAACCCACACTACTGTTTTTGAATTGTAATGGCCGGCTACTTTTTTTTAACTGCTGAAAAATTAAGAGGTAAATAAAGAGTAGATTTTTTCCCGTTTACGAGAAAGATGATTTACGGCAACTAAAAGCCCTGCATCCGGAATCGAGCGACTGCTCAAGTTATTTTCTACTCCACCATGAAAAACGGCCATTTGCAACTAGATATCGTATTACATCGATAGATACTAGATATCGTACAAGAAAGGGAATTATGGTAGCCGGGAAGAATCCACTACTAAAACTCAAATAAACCGCTGTCAAGTTTACTTTTTTCTAGCTCAGCTATTTCAATTCTTGGTAAATTCTCTTATTCGAACTGAAATTTTGAGTGAAAAAAGCATTTAATTTGTAAGCTATCTAGAAATTCGATAAATTAGAAATGGACCATTTGCCTTTTTGTGAATCATTACAATGCCTACAATTACAAACTTCAGTTCCAAGAGGCTACAGGATGCTTAACGGAACTGTCAAGGTAAAACATCACATAAAACAATAAAATCCTTGGAGTAGATTCCCAGTTTTGGCAAGAGTCAGCCGCACAGAAACATCTAAAATTGGAATCGAAACGTAGATGCTCAATGAAAGGTAGTCTTTTCTTTAAGTTGTAGTAGACTTGGGTCACTCCTTCGTCCACCAATGATTAACAGTCTACAAAAAAGTAAAGATAAAGATAATACTACACACAAAACGCTCGGTTCCAGTTGCTCAAGATCTCTTTCATATTTGAGACCACAGTACAGAACCATATGACCCACAGTCTCTTCTTAAATTGCGGAAGATAGGATGATCCCAACACAGAGACAGTGGGTGTAGTATTTGTATCCGCCAAGCAGTTTACAGCAAGCGCTAGAGATCGTCAATTGCTTCCTTCACTTTCAACTCCATTTGACAGACACTCCAACCTCTCTTTCTTAAAGAAATCATCAATATCAGTCTTTTTCACATCAACAAGAATAATTAATCCTTTGAATAGTTCTCCTATACCTCACATGTATTCTCACTTCTATTTTATTTTTATCTTTCATCTCGTCGCCTCTGACTTTTTTCCCTTTTTCAACTGTTTCTTTACTCATGTCAAAACGAAACCATGTCAATTTGACCATCCACTCCAATTTGCTCCTCCCCCCTTTACTTTTATCCTTATCCTCATTTTTCAGCAAATTTTTACACTATTTATGCCGTTTCTTAGGTATTAATCAAAATGGACACTTAACTGAGCAGCTAATAAAATTATCTTTCCTTGGTCAAGAAACAGCTTGAAACACTATAAGGTATTTCTCCCGCCTTCTTGGCATGCCTTCGTGGTGTGGTGATCAGCACGCTGGACGAGTATTCCAGAGGTTCGCGGCTCGAATCCTGGCGAAGGCGTTGCACATTTTTCAATCTCTCTTACTTCCAAAAAAATCCTAATGTCTCTCTAAGTGGCACTCGAACTAAAAGGGTGGTGGATAATTATTCTCCCCACACAGAATTTGGCGATTGGGTCCTTTAAAACCCCAGTCGCTCTTTAAAAGGTGGAGTATATAAGTTATTTCTCCCGCCTTCTTGGCATGCCTTTATGGTGTAGTGGTCTGCCCGCTGGGAACGTATTCCAGAGGTCCGCGGTTCGATATCCGGCGAAGGTATTGCACATTTTTCAATCTCTCTTGCTTCCAAAGTAAATCCTAATGTCACTACAACACTGACCAGTCTGGAAAACCTAACCATCCCAAGGAGGAGAAATAAGTAATACAATAACGATTGCAATCTAACGCGTGCCAAATAAATCTAATTTCCAAGTATACCTCCAAGCGCTCGGTGGGAGACAAAGTTCAATTCACAAAGAGAGGCTCTCACTAAAAGTAGGCTACGTAGACCGAATGTTTATTAAATGAGTTAAAATATTGTAGATCATTACGTTCGAGAACTCGATTATTGGAGAACGGTTACTGAAGAACTAACTGAGCTGCTTCGTTTTGCCTTAAAATCTCCAGTAATTGGACTATTAGTCTACTAACAAATATAAAAGCAATGCCCAAAAAGCTGGAAATAAAAATAAACGAAAAGATGTTTTTTTTCAAAACTGCACTTTCTCACACCCTCATTCCAGACCCGCTAACTATTTTCACATCAGCAGCCAAACCTGCATAAAGCAAGCGAAATTCCTATCACGATGGATAAGACTAAAAGGAAAATTCTTATTTTATTTATCCAAAGGCTTCGTTTCCTGAGTTTCTGCATATTTTTTTCAACGCTCAGAAACATACAAAACCCGACCTTGAAAATGCAACGCCAAGAAGAAGTGTCAAGGAAGTAGTGAAACTCGATAAACAGAGAGAGACAACAATGAACAATAAAAGATCTTTCCTTCGAAATGATATACAGAGCGAGAATAGTGTCGGCTTAATACAGAGCGAGAATAGTGTCGGCTTAATACAGAGCGAGAATAGTGTCGGCTCAGCAGGTTGTAAGACCACCTAGGACGGGGATATACGAAGCAACACGTCCAGGTACAGAGTCAGTGAGACTATGGATGGTGTTGGATGTATACTTAATATTTGCATTTCTTTTTTTCTTTATTTATTTTCTCACTGTTTAATTTTATGTTATGATTTACAATAATCTTGTTACTGGCAACATGCTTTATTTTACTATTACGTTTGTGTGAATGGCAACCGTTGTTCATGTTTATATTTCAGTAGAATAGCCGCATTGCGCTGCAGCCAATTTTTCTCTTAAATATTTTATGTTTCAAAATAGCAATAAAGTTTTATACAAAGTTGATGCTTTTTAGTTCAAGGAAACTATTATCATAACATAAAATTAAATACTGAGAAAATAAATAAGGCAAAAGAAATGCAAATATTAAATTTACATCCAACAGATGGTATCCTGAGGAATGGCTCTCTGTTCCCTGCCAAACAGTCGCCACAATTCATCTTCTGAATGCGGCAACGGCAGAGTCATCAAATGGCGTCCAATCACATCCAAAATGTGTTTGATTTGTGAGGGTTCAGCAGTGAATCTGTCCAGGGAAGCATCGTGTACACCTTGCAGAGCACGTTGGCTGATGCGAGAAATGTGTGATCGGGCGTTATCCTGCTGATAAGGGGCACTGGGCACCCTCTGAAGGTAGGAGAGTATTATCCATGTATCGCTAGGTCGCCACAGTGCTTTAAATACGAACTAGAAGTCACCTGGAATTGTATGCAATTGCCCCCTGAACCATGATGCCGTTTTGTAGCGCGGTGAGGCACCCCACAGTTGCTGCTGAATTGGACCTGTCTCTAAATCGACGCCACACTCGTACGCGGCGACTATCACTAGAGAAACAGAAGCGCGATTCATCTGAGAACACGAACGATTGCCATTCTGTCATCCACATCGCTCGATCCCGGCTTTGCAGACGTTGGCGTTTATAATGTGGGGTCAATGGCAGCCTTCTTAACGGACGCCAAAGGTGCAGGCCACTAGCCACCAATAGACGGCCACCAAATGGTTCTGGTCGATTTGGGAACATCCAGGATGTCTTGAACATGCTGCAGAATGGAGGTAGAAGTGGCTAGCGAGTGCGTCACCGCTTGTCGATGGTTGCGTCGATCCGCACGTGTTGACGTTTGTGTATCGGCACCGCATGAACTTGCCATATTTCCTTGTTCCAGCCATCATCGTCAGAGCCGTTGCATTGTGAACATGTCGCATTGTGAACACGTTGCATTGTGAACATGTGAACACGTTGCATTGTTAACATGTGAACGCGTTGCATTGTGAACATGTGAACACGTTGCATTGTGAACATGTGTCAGCTGAGTTTTGCCGTATGAACCAACCTGCCCTTCTCAATCCGATCACCATGCCCCTCGTAAAAACGCTTGTCTGCTGTAACTGTTTCCGTTGACGACGGCCTGGCATTATCTGCTATTACATGCATCCTCTGAGGCAAGAACAATTTTTTACGATGATTTCCCTAGTAGAAGTAACGGCACGAAAATCGAAGATTTTTTACGTTCTTTCTCTTATAGCTACTTCAAAGTGCGCTGGAGAGCCGCGCATTTCACATCGTTCGCATAACTCGGGGACGTGCGTCTATTCTTAAATTTGCATAATTTTCGAGCCACGCCTTCTTGGTGTTGCATTTTCAATGTCGGGTAGTGTATTTTCTAACAGACAAACAAGTTTCCCTATCCTTTCTTTCAAATGAGTAGAAAACAAAACATTTTTGCCATTAGAGGTTTGATCATCTCTCAAGTCAGGTTCTAAATAACACTAATGATAAGGTAAAATAAAAATTATTTTATACGTTTTTATATAAAACATGCAGAAAATGAACCACATCACGCACTATATTTTCCATGTGAAACAAGTAGGAGAGCACGCAGAAAATATCTGAAATTTTAACTGCGATTGGCAAGTTTTGATTAAGAGAGTAATAAAATGTGCTTTTAACTTTTATTTGACAAATTTCATTTAAAAATAACAATGTACAGCTGAGCTGGAATATTCACTTTCTTTATTAACCTTCAGCAGCATATTTATCACTTTTTCATTAAACTTTGAATGTGAATAATTATATGCATAAGATGAAAGTTTCAATTATCTTGCAGATCTTACTTCATAATCAAGATATGAAATAATGGCAAAGGGAACTACTAAATTACATGTAGTCTATCGCAACACTTTAAGCACAAACTTGCGATAAAAGCAATTACATAATCTTGCTAAAACGTTCTATCTTAAACTTTTGTATTGCAATTGCTAAAATTATCAATTAAGTAATTAAAAGAATTCTCCTCAAATGCTTATACATAATGCAATATTTTAAAGCAATATTGTGGCTCTGGTATTAAACAGTGACACCAAGATTCCAAAAAAGATATACAGATTTATAATCGGTAAATAGCAACCTATTAAAAGACTATTCCCTAGATTACTATATAAAACATATACTAGTACGTTTGACAGTGCTTTAAAACTGTGGACTCGAAATACAGACAACATTTAGCAGTAGATTAACTTCATTTGGCAAACCAAGTGATTAATTTCTCAATAAGTTTCACTTATCTGACGATAAATTTCACAAGATCAAACATTTCTAGCATTCAAAAACTTGATAACGGCTGTTATGACACAGCTGGAGGGCCGACGATTGTTTTAAAAATGATTGCCTACAAACAGTGACTTCAAACGTTAACGTAAGCAAATAAAATGCCTAGGCTAGTTCGTTCTCGAGATGAACGATGTAACTAAGCATGCGCGACCTTCTTGATGTCAGATGTGCAGGGAAGACCCGCAAACGGTACTTTATTTTCTGGATCAGCTTGGTATGTATAGGTTTCTACTTTGAACGATGGTTACATTTTGAAGAAAACTTGAACAAAAATTCGGGATTTTTTTTTTAATTAAACGTTTGGCATTACGGAACTACTTGAAAGAAATTAATCAAATTAAAACTTGCATTACAGCTTTTGATGACTATCCCTGTAATCTAAATCATTATTAAAATTCAAGACATAAAACTTCAGCATAGGTAGAAAAATACTATATTTTCTTTACCATTTAGTCTTTCACTAAAGCAAATGTAATTTTTTTAAATTTCTTTGCAGAGCTGCTGACTTAGTTCTAGGATCACGCTATCAATACCTTGTAACAACTGATAAAGAATTAGGAGATATTCAAAGCGTCACTTTGCAATGGTATTCATCGTCACTAAACCCACTTAAACTCCTCTTTAAGCCAAAGTTGTATGTGGAATATATTTCTGTTGTACCAATGAACGTTATTGAAAAGTCGTAAGTAAAACTTTCCTTACATTACATATAATAATAACTGAAATTATAATGCAAAAATTGGCCCATATTTTAATTTACGAATCACCAGCAATTGAGATACAAAATTCAATCTAATTATTTGCTCATGATAATTCGTGTTTGATTAAAACTTGACGAGAAACGTGTTAAAAACGCCATTTTTTGGCATAATTTTGAATGCTTCACTTTCAGCAAAATTCATCGATGTCTGCTCACTTGCGACAAAAGAATGTAACTAATAGCGCACTTATTGTTAATGGAAGCTAATTATTAAACAAAGATTTTATCAATCCTTATTCTGTTTAACAACGTTAAAGAATATATTCTGTCATGAAGGAAAACGTTGCAACTTAACATAATTTGTTGTTTAACTATGAGAATTGAATTTTTTAGTTGAGTTTTTAATGCATTTTTTGGCTAAAATTCTATTTTATACTTCTTACAGCCCAAGAAAAATGACTAACAGAGTTTTCTGCGGAAAACCTAAAGTTGCTATTATGCCGAAGACCACAACAAGCTTTCTGCGTGATAACAAATGTCTCAAATTTTTGTAATGAATAAAGTTTTTATAGTTGTAATGTTTTACGTAGTTTAGAAATGTCTGCGAATGCAAGAAAACACCATTTCAATACGATCTGCAGAAAATAAAACAAAGATGTAATTAGTAATCGGTAAAGAATTTAGAAATGAGTCGAAAGTATCGAAATCAGCTTCAACATTTCACGTATGATAAGCATCATACTCGTAAAAAGACACGATAGAGGTTAAAATAGCCATGAAATATGCAATACGGTATAAACGTCTACAGCATGATTACATTTAAGAGTTCTTAGTCACTTTTAATCGAATGTCGTTATTAATACGTCATAAAATGGAACACATTTGCACTTTCACATGATTTAGAAAAGGATATAAACTACAACAAAAACTTATATCCTGCAAATAATTAATGCTTTCGAAAATTAAAAATTATCAAATCTTAAATAATAGGGAAATATTTTATTATACAACTGCGCACCTAAACCCTGCATGTTATTGAGACAAAACACCACATTAAGGTATACCGAAGTAAATACTATTCTGATGATTTGCTACAAGAACTTTTTATAACAAACTTTTATCGCATTTAGCACCCAAATTGGTACGCAGTTTATTGAAAATGTTATGCTTATAATTCACTTGAAGTACACGCAAACTTATCAGTACAGATCTAAGGAGGAACAAAGAAACTAGGTAGAAAATTCAAAGAAATAGCCTAATATTTATATTCGAAGTTGTCTGTAAGTTATACATGATGATCTTATGGAAATCTCGAATTGTAAACTGGAATTTTCAATCCTACGATTTTATTTAAATTTTGAGACATTTCCCAAAACCCTCTCAGCAAATAATAGTGACGTAATTTGACAAGAGAAGATGCTAGAAACAGCCTTACTGCTAAGTGCCAAGATAGCCAAAATGCTTTGTTTCTCCCCGAGCTAAATGGTATGATTACGTATGTGTAGTTAATACGTGTTTCCATTCAGCTCAGATCATGCGAAGTAATCTTCTGATTATCCACTTAAAATAATCTGTTTATGCGAGAACTGACTTTCAAGGAAGCATGAGATAATCCTACGTCAAGTATATTCTTAGATCCTTTTTCTATGAAAATATTTAGAGCAGAATAAGATTTGCAGCAGTTATTCGTTTCCAGCATTCAGCCAAATATTAATATAAGAACACGGTGGAACTTGGAACGCTTTTGAACCGTAGTCACACCAGTTTGTAAAGTATTTGCTTAGATTTATTTTGGGAAAAACCACTTTGGAAAAACCACTCTCACCTTACCTGCAGCAGCATTTGGGAAATTCACTGATGTTACAGGTTTGGTTTCCATTTATTAAAATAAATCAGTTCTTGAAATTTTGAATAACTGTGGCTCTTGAAATTTTGTACAGTGAAAACGTTCATGGAAAAACGGATGCTACTTTTGAAAAATTATTCATGGAAAATGAGTAAAGCAGGGCATTGCTCCATGTAAATAATATTGCATTTAACTCTCAATCAAATACTAATTATTTAACTTTCTTATCGAGAAAATAGAAAGTGTTTTAAGTCGAAATACAGACACAGCCTGAACTAATAAGTTGCACAAAATTTAAAATTACTTCAACTTCTGAAATTTATTCCACATATCAAATAAATTTTACATTACGAAAATGCAGCTTTCAAATTATAAGAGCAGCGAAGTAAAAAACATTGTTTAGGTTAGGAATTACTTCAGGTGTCAATTTTAAAATTTAAGATTATGTTGTCTGTGTTACGATCAGGTTCATTTTTCATGGTTCTTTAAATCCGACTAACAACCGAATGGCGATGTTTTCCCAAGGTCGATTCCCAACGATCTGAAGATTTGGTTCATAGAAACTGCATGAATTCTATTATGTAATACAAAAATACGAGTCAGTTTTTTATGAAATCATCCCTACCCTTAAGCAGGCATTCCTCAAGTGCTGTTGACTATGTCATATTTATTTCACCAATCATAATAATTCTCTGATAATTTGTTACAGTTATATTCAACAATCAGTTTCTTTTATCAGAACCCAATTTGTTCAAGTAAGTTTACATTTTCTTTAAATGGCAAGTAGCAGTGCCGTATACAACAAAAAAAATTATAATTAGGTTTCATAGGCTCTGGCTGTAAAAATTAGGTCCTCTATTCAAAACCTTGTGTTGCCTGTATTCATAAAGCAAACCTGTATTAAAATTTACATTATATATTGTTAGCAAAATGATAAAAGAGAAAAGAAAATATGGCACTGTATAACACTGAATATGGAGTAAAAATTCTAAAAACTAATAGGTTAAGAAAATTACATAAATATATATTGCTCATAAATGATACCACGGACACTTTCATTATTAAATTACTTTTCAGCACTGCTACTCGATAAACTGCTTTTCCCCATCTGGAAGCACATTGCCCGATATTGAAAATGTAACACCAAGAAGGAGTGAACAGAGAGTGATCACGCTCGGTAAACACAGAGAGATAGCAACGAACAATAAGTTATCTGTATTTCGAAATGATATGCATAATACAGAGCGGATCAATAGGTTGTAGCACCACCTTAGACGGCAATACAAGAAGCAGTACATCTAGGTACATAGAGAATGAGACTACAGATGGTGTTCTGAGAAATGGCTCTTTATTCCTTATCAACCATTTGCCACAGTTCGTCTTCCGAACGCGGCAATGGCAGGGTCTGCAAATAATGTCCAATCACATCCCAAATGTGTTCTATTAGTGCGAGATCAGGAGAAAAAAGTGTCCAGGGAAGCATCTGTACACCTTTCAAAGCACATTGGCTGATGTGAGTAGTGAGTGGTCGGACGTTATTCTACTGATAAAGTCCAGTGGGCACACCCTGAACGTAGGGGAATGTAACTGGCCGCAGCACATCATTCGACCGTCGTTGGGCCGTCATAGTGTCCTGAATACGAAGTAGAGGTGACTTGGAATTATACGCAATTGAGCCCCAAACCATGATGCTGCGTTGTCGTGCGGTACGGCATTCCACAGCTGCTGCCGGATTGGACCTGTCTCCACATCGATGCCACACTCGTACGCGGCGACTATCATTTGAGAAATAGAAGCGTGACTCATCTGAGAACACGGCCCGTTGCCATTCCGTCATCCACATCGCTCGAGCCTGGCACCATTGCAGATGTCAACGTCTATAATGTGGGGTCAATGGCAGTCTTCTTAACGGACGCCAAGGTTGCAGGCTACTAGCCACCAATCGATGGAAAATGGTTCTGATCGATTTGGAAACTTCCAGGATGTCTTGAACATGCTGCAGAATGGAGGTAGAAGTGGCTAGCTGGTGCGTCACCGAGTGTAGGCGGATGCGTCGATCCCCGCGTGGTAACGTCACTCTGGCAGTACCAGCACCCCACAAACTTGCCCCATTTCCTTGCTCCAACCGTCATCGCCACAGCCGTTGCACAATGGACGTGCCCAGTTGTTTGTCAGCTGAGATTTGCCGTATGGACCAACCTGCCTTTTTCAGTCCTATCACCATGCCCTTCGTAAAAACGCCTGTCTGCTGGAACTGTCTCCGTTGACGACGGCCTGGCGTTCTCTGCTAGTACACGCGTCCTCTGAGACAAGAACAAATTTTCTACAATGATTTCCCTAGCAGAAATAAGGACATGAAAATTTAATATTCCGTACGATTTTTCCCTTATATCTTCTTCAACGTACGCTGGAGAACTGCACATTTCACATCGTTCGCATAACTCGGTAACGTGCGTCAACCCTGAAATTTGCATAATTTCCGGGCCACTCCTTCTTGGTGTTGCATTTTCAATGTCGGGTAGAGTTATATTTGTGGAGGAAAATAAAGGTCTGTTCTATGCAGTAAACCTACGCTATGAGAAATCATTGTGTTATTTTATAGAAACTGTCACTAAGTATCACATATGCAGATTTTGTAAAATACGAATATATGTCTAGAAAACCTTTACAAAGTGCATTTTGTAATTTCTACCGGACCATTCTGTTACTTAAATTATGGCCAATTAATCCAGTTCCTACGAAAATGTGACGCCAAGAAGAATATAATATATATATATATATATATATATATAAATCTTACACTCACGGTATATCATCATCAACATCATAAAAACAATCATACCGACATTCATATTGCTGGTAGAATTTAACTCAAAGACGAAAATATTAGTATTTTGCGGAGTATAACCAATCGGTTAAGGGTCAGCGTGATGGAAATGGTGAAGCACGACAGTTATTCTTTTTAGTTCGCATTACTATTTAATCTAATTTTTTTACAGAACTGATGATTAAGTTATAGGCAACTAACTTCATATATCATTATCATCTCATTATAAAAGAGCTCACCAGCGGCCGAGCGGTAAAGACGCTGAATACTGGTAGTTCTGTCCGAGGTTCGAATTCCGCGAACGGGCTGGCTGCATGGGCGTTTTCGTGTTTTTCCCCATGTGTAACGTGTATACGAGCCAGTTTCCCTTAGAAAGTCCTCCACGAAGGCATCTCTCCCTTTAGGCAGATAGCCCTCGTATGCTTTGCCATAACTAAATAATCCAATCCAATCCATTATAAAAGAACAAATATAGCTCATTAGTTAAACCTTTTCACTACAATGTTGCATATTCAGAAACAATAAAAGAAGATAAGCATAAAATAAAACTTTGCTTTTTAGATAAATATAAGATTATTATAAAAGATTAAATATCTCTTTACGCTGCGTTATAGACCAAAGTTTCAGTTGAAACAATGAATCAAAAAGTGGACTTTCGGTTTGATAGTTTGGTCATTTGGCATCTTTAGATCAGACGTACACAAAATTCAAAAGAAGGAAACATGGATGCTACCTTTACAAAGGTAGCATCCATGTTTCATAACAAATAACATTTGTAGGAAAATCACAGCAAATGAAAACATACTTTTCAAATGTTAACTGTTTTACTTCCTTACCTGTGCGCCCAACTGGAGGTCGAGTGGTAAAGTCGCTGAACACTGGTAGTTCAGTCAGAGATTCGAATCCCGC